GGGTCGCCACCATGACAGGCACAGACGATCCTGCGACCACAGCTTCGGTCGGCCACCTCAACAATGGAGGCACGGAACAGGGTCCTTTCAGACTCAATGTACCCCGCCTCCCCCGGAACATTTTGGAAGTTCTGTCGGAGGTGGGAATTGAAACTCCTTCTGGCAGGAGACTCTGCCAGATGCTCCCAGCAGCCCCCTCACAATGTGTTTGGGCCTGCCTGGTCTGACTGGCATCCTCCCCTACCATCTGAGCCAACTCACCACCAATTAGTGGTCAGTTGACAGCTCCACCCCTCTCTTCAACCGAGTGTCCAAAACATGCGGCCGCAGGTCAGATGAAACAACAACAAAGTCAATCATCGAGCTGCAACCTAAGGTATCCTGGTGCCAAGAGCACATATGGACACCTTTATGTCTGAACATGGTGTTCATTATGGACAATCCATGACTGGCACAGAAGTCCAATAACAAAACACTACTCGGATTCAGATCAAGGGGACCGTTCCTCTCAACCACAACCCTCCAGGTCTCACTGTCGTCCACGTGAGCGTTAAAGTCCGCCAGCAGAACTAGGATGTCACTGGAAGGAGCGCTCTCCAGCACCCCCTCCAAGGTCTCCAAAAGAGTGGGTAGTCTTAACTGTAGTTTGGTGCATATGCACAGACCACAGTCAGAACCCGTTCCCCACACGTAGGTGGAGGGATGTTACCCTCTCGAGAGGTGACATTCCATGTGCCAAGATCCAGCTTCTGTAGCCGAGGATCAGACCGCCAAGGTCCCCGCCCTCGACTACCACCCGTCACACACTGCACCGGACCCCATTGGCTCCTCCCACGAGTGGTGAGCCCATGGGAAGGGGGATCCATGTTTCTTCTTCGGGCTGTGCCCGGCCGGGCCCCATGGCTCGGCCACCAGGCGCTCGCCAATGCACTTTTAATGTTAAAATTGAGTATCTTATAAACATGTTGGGGTTATTAGGAGCGAACAATTCGTAAGCTTTAACTTACTTTTGGATTCTTCAATAAATTCTGTAAATATGGGAATATTTACTGATTTATTAATTAATTAAGATATTCTTAGATATACGGGGCACCATTCCCCTTTAACCGGGGAAAAATTGAATCCAAAACTCTTATCAGTCTTTCTTGAAGTTCGTAGAATCCTTGGAGCAGAGACTTCTCTTCGACACAACAAAGCTACTGGAGACGAAAATCTGAATTTTATAACGTTTAATTAACAATTTGTCAAATGAATAAACAGTGGCATAAATGAATAATAACCATGTGATATAATAAAAGGATGTATATTCAAAATAATGTTCAAGGTGTTTTGTGTGTATGTATGTGTGTGTGTGTTTCTAAAATGGAGTCTGTATGCAAGATGGCTGACCCCTTTGTCTGGCTAAAGTGTGAGTGGCAACTTGCACTTTAACTTCCAAGGCACTTAGAATCATCAGTAACTTAACCTTAAATTCACTCAAAACATTTCAAAGGATCATGAAACAACACAAAGGATTAATCACGAATAATATCTTTTAGTTTAACCACGTGGCCAAGCAGAAAACATTTAAAGATACCAAACAATGATCAATAAGCAGTTTATTTATTCAAAATGACCCGGCGGACGTGTTTTGGGAACGAAAGAGGAAAACACGAAGCTACTTTTTAAGCAATAGCGCGGTTTTATTGCTTATTCTGGACTATAGAGGAAACGGGAGAAGAAAAGGAGAGAGAGAAATGAGTTTTCTGATCACCAGAACAGTGAAGCGTCCCTCACTGTTTTGATTTGACGGTTCTCCGTGTTTCTCCGCAGTTTGGCGTCATCCGTCGGTTTGATGCTTTCTCTGTTGTTTACCTCCACGAGTGTTTCTCCACGGGCTGGACACAAAGAGAACGAAGTTTCTTTTGTGCTGAGTTTGACAACTTACAGCGTCTCTGAGAGCTGGATGGAGCTCCGCTCGTTCCCAGTCAGGTCCTGATGGAGTTCGAGTGGCTTTGTAGCGGTTTCGTGGCTCAACTTGGGCACTTAGAGCTTCCGCGTGCTCAAGTTGTCGGAGCGTTCGACAAGCGTGTCCTTACCGCCAGGTATCCTGGGCAAAAGAACGAGGTTTCTTTGTCTCTGCTGAAGATTTATGGTCTTAGTTCGCGGGAAAAGCTCCACGGCCTCCCGCACATGCGCAGAACGTGTTTCTGGTATTAGGCGGTGACATCATCCCAATGCTTCCGTGTGCAAAGCATCATGGGAAATGAAGTTTCTTGGCGCTGATGTGGTTATTTGCTTTTCAGAGCAATTTAAGCACAGTCATTTTGGAGAAAATCACTGCATAGTAATTTCCTCATGAGGTCAGACCCTCAACATTCCCCCTTTTGGTTTCGGGGATCGCGCCCAAAGCTCGATCGTCGGAAGCACAGATGGGTTTGTTCCTCATGAACGTAGGTCGACTTGATTGTCGGAAGCACAGGTGGGTTTGTCCCTTAGGACGTTGGTCTCCTTGGACGCCTTTGTCTTTGGTCTTTGTCTTGGATCCTGGCGCCTTTGGTCTTTGTCTTTGTCTTGGATCCTGGTCAGGCACAAAACAAAAGAGGATAGGAAATGGGATAGTCCCCAACGCGCATAACGAGAAGAAGCCACTCACGCAGGTGGTACGCAATGAAGATGTCGTCCATGCGAGAGGTAGTAGTGTAGAAGGAGGAAGGTCGGTGGGCGGTTAACTCCACGAGGGGACACAAAGGCATCTCACCGCCGGCCATACAGTTCAGTTTATGGAGCACGCGGTGATGTACGAGGTCCATAGTTCGCAAACGCGCATTGACCTATGTGGTCCCAAGAAACACCATATTTGTTAAAGCTTCATAAACATTGTAAATAAAATTAAAAAATAAGTGTATTAAAACAAAACATTACAAGCTATTACCATTAAAATGATTTGAACATTGCAGACATTATAGATAAAATCCACAAGCAAGTCACAGAACATTTTAAAATGTGCATTGTTCAATTTTAAGATGTTTTTTAATCTCTAAACTACTTTTCAGAACAAACAAACAGACTGACTCACACAGCTCTTTATTGTGGAAATTCCCACACTTTTATTCAGGTAGTTTGATTCCTTTGCAGAATGTTTCTCAAACTTATGCCTTGACAAATAATAAACCTCAATTTTTATTTCAAGAAAAAGAAAACAATATTCTCCATAAAAAGGCAACTATAGAAACAAGTAGAATGGCCAACATCAAATTACTAACAAGTCCTTTCTTCATTTTCCTTTTCATTCTTATATTTCTGCAAGAATGGTTTTCACAAAGAGACACAAAGAGAAGGCGTTGCACAGCGTGAACTTTGACCTTTCTGGAATTATTGGCTTAAAATGTTGGTTATCTGGAGGCTTATTTAACACCTGTCAACGTTTGTTAAATTCTTATGATCTACTGAGGTCAACTAAACGAATATTCTAAAGTATGCCTCAAACACAATTCAATCTTAATCACAGACATATTTTAAACATAGTAGAATAAAGAGGAGATTGTTGCTACTCTTTAATTTTCATCAACAATTTTCCCAGAATAACCAAAAAGGTTTAAAATTCCATGATTTTAGTATTATAATTCCATTATGGTTGTTTGGTTTAATTATGTGATGTTCCTGTCAAACGATCGTTCTGGTATAATAATTGAACAAAACACACCTGCAGCAGATGTACAAAAATGTACTAGATGGAAATGATGCCGATGTTGCCCCCTCGTGTGTTTGTTAATAAGTCCCCTACTGTGCAGCATGTTAGAGGAACCTGTGGCATTTAGAATTGTAGATCTGATATCTCCACCAGTCACTTCTCACACTCACGGCCACATTTCCCTGTTTAATGGCTTGTTAGAGAGCAGGTTCCCCAAGCAGAGCTGCTACTGCTAACAAGCAATTGTTAAACTCTAGCCAGAAAGTAAAAATCTCTGACATTATTCTGGTGAAAGAAAATAAGCAGGAAAAAATAAAACTTTGACTTTTTTTGTCACCAATTTGCAAAACTGTAAACAAGTGAAAGATAAAAAAGCAGGCTGAAGTTGCATTTGGCTGTGTGTCATTTAGCAGTGGGGTAGGCGTGTTAACATCCTCCAAGGTTCTGAGGTTTATAAAACAAAATGCACGTGGCACGATACTAGTAATTTATTCCATTTACATAAAGATACACAGACTCTTTAATTTATCATTTCTAAATAAATATATATTAAAGCTTTTTTAGAAAATAACCAAAGAAATGCATTTTAATCCCACAAAACCTAATGGAAATTAAAAAAAATACAGAGAATTTATTTTCTCTAGTGGGTGGATGCTTGAAACAAATCAGGAAGATTCACTCATTCAGTTTTCCTTCAAGTACCTTGTGAGGCTAGAGGGCCATTTTTGTTCAAATTAGCACTTCTCAAGTTGCCAGCTAATTTTCACATGAAGAGAAACGTTACCAGCCAACTCTGAATTTTAAACATGTGAACATGTGCATGCTTGGCATACAGGCTGTCATGTCTACTAAATGAACTCTGTTAAAACTCAGAATTAAAGAATAATCTAAAAATCCAAGTAAAATAAAACATAACGACAAAAAAAATGGTTGCATTTAGGGGTGTAGATTGGCAAGAATCTGGCGATATGATATATATCACGATACTGGGGCGATGATACGATATATTGCGATACTAAAAGTGAGACAATGTTTGCAATTTGGTAAGAAATGCTGCCACCTAGCAGTCGAAGTTTGAATTGCACCACACTAACAGCAGTAAAAGTTTACATGTAAATTCTTAGTAAGAATCTATACACTACTTTTAAAAATGGACTAAGTATCATAAAACGAAATATCGCCATATTTCAGTGTATCGTTGTTTTTCTACATCTGCAATAGCTAAACTGCAACTAATTCAAGTTAAGAAAAGTTAACTTAAACACTGATTTAGTTTAAAGTTCTCCCTCCAACACCTGCACACTCACCTGTTCTTGTGTCTGTTTAGTTTTACAGCAACATGATTGGCTGTGACGGCCTGAACAGCTGAGCTGCTTTAATGGAGCAGGTCGAACCTGTGTTCCGTCCACCACCAGAACCCAAACCGCATCATGCGATTCTCTGGAACCGCTTGCTTTTCTCATCAGTCCTCCTCTTGCTGATCGGTGCCTTAGCCGGGCCTTGTGATGCCGGGCCGTCCCAGCCTGCCCGTCCTCCTCTCTTATCTGGACAGCCTTTCATCATCTTCTGGGGAATCCGGGACTCTTCCTGCTCCAGCCGAATAGATCTCAGCTCCTTCGGTATGGAGCGAGACGGCCGTGTAGCCGTCTTCTATGAAGGTGCACTGGGTAACTATCCCTACTTTGTAGACAAAAACACTCCTGTCAACGGGGGGCTCCCACAGCACACACGTTTGGACAGCCACATCCAGAAGACTCAGCAGGACTTGGAGGCAGCTTTGCCTGCACCCAGGTACCTCGGGCTGGGGGTGCTGCGCTGGACAGAGTGGGTTCCCCAGTGGTCCAGGAACCGAGAGAAGCAGGCAATGTACCGAGAGGCATCCAGGAACCTGATGAAGACCTTCTTTCCTCGCTGGACACCAGAAGAACTGGAGAAGTGGTCTCGGGTAAGAAGTGTGGAAATTAAGTACAAGCAGGAAGAAAGAACTAAAGAAAGATTTAAAAAATGAAAATAGAGAATATGGAATAACAGCAGCAAACTACTGAATTGCTAGAATCGAATATTGAAACTTGAGGATTGTTTGCAGCATTGTTACAAATTATGCTGACTCATTAAATAATACTAAATGGAAGTTTCCAAACAATAATTTGCCACAGGTGGACTTTGAGGCAGCAGCTCAGTCTGTGATGGTGGAGACTCTACGGGAGGTCAAAAGGTCAAGACCCAAAGCATTGTGGGGATTCTCCACCTATCCCACCTGCTTCAACAGGGACCCCACCCTAACTCAGCTAGCCAACTACACAGGCCAGTGCAATCCTGCAGAGACGGCTCTGAACGATGAGCTTGCGTGGCTATGGAAAAGAAGCACTGCTCTCTACCCCCTCCTGACCCTGGAGAAGCTGCAGGTGTGTTTACAGAACGTGACCTATTATTGGGGTTATGAAGCATTTCAAAGCCTACCTGTGCTACCTGTGAGCTACATCCTTGTTACTACAGAGTGGGACGCCAACAGCCAGGCTGTGTTCATCGGGTCAGTTAAAGGAAGCCCTACGCGTGGCCTCTCAGCCCAGAGCAGAGTTTGATCTGCCCGTGTTTCCCCTGGTAAAGACCGTCTACCTCTCCACTAGGACTTTCCTATCCCCGGTGAGACATCACAGTTAATATAATCTTCATTCATTCAAATTCTGACTTCGTTCTTTATGGAATTTGGGTATAATATAGGAACAGCTGGGTCATCCCGTTCCCTTTTTAGACTGAATGCTTTTGCCTTTACAGGCTGACCTGGTCAACACTATAGGAGAAAGTGCTGCCATGGGAGGAGCAGGAGTCATCATCTGGGACAAAAGTGAGACTAAGACGGAGGTACTCGACCCGACATCAACACTGTGTATTTACCTAAAAATACTCTCGGTTACAACATTTAGGTTGTACATCAGGTCTTAAATATGTATTTTTTATTTTATTAATGTTTCTTTTAAAATAAGAGCATCAACAAAGTTCATTAGCAATGGGACCCACGTTGTTTGTAAATAAAACTTTCGGCCCAAATAAAAAAAATCTGTGAACCTAAATGTGCTGCTTGTAATGAGCTAGCACTCTAGCTAAAGCCTGCTAGAACCAAAGTAAATTGGGCTCCTCGCATCAACCATACAGGCTCCACATAGGATATTTAGTGCCCTTTACCCTCATTATAAATGCATCGGAGCTTAACCCTTGCACCACCCTGGGAAACACGTCAACTTCCAAAAGCTTCGCTTTACCTTCCTAAATAAAATGTGTAGGGCTGCAGCTATCGAATATTTTTGTAATCGAGTACTCTATCGAATATCTTTTTCGATTAATCGAGTACTCTAATAAATTACCCTTTTGTATTTGTAAACCATTATATCAAATAGCATGTTATAATTATGAAAGACCTGTTAAAATGAGCAAGCAATTGCCAGTTATTCTTCAAGTTTTATTCAAAATTAGTTTTCAAACTTCAGCACTTCAACTTTACTTCACAGTAAACAAATGGCTGTGCAAAAAATAAGTACACAACCTGGGCAGATTTTCCCCTCGTGCGAGAATCTGCTAGCCTGCAAGCCAGACAGAAACTAGGAGGATAACTGTTGAAGTAGCGCTGCGAGCAGGCTGCGGCCCAAACAGAACCAGAACCGCTCACGGCGCATGCGCAAACAGCTCGCCGGCTGTTTCCCTATTAACACACGTCCGTTTTAATTTCAACACTTTTTTTACTCACACAATAACAAGGATTGTCGAGAAAGCATGTTTGCTGTGGTTTTCTCAAATTATACTGATCACAAAACATTTATTTACTTTCTTTCGTTTTCCTCTCATAAATACCCATGTCCTCCTGCAGCAATCCCGAGGGACAACAAACATCAATAACACAATAAAAAGTCCGACGTTTTGTGTAAAAATGCTATTTTTTAGCACATTTTAAGTCCGACGTGTTGCTACCAGATGTATGGTGTGAGCTTAAACTGAGTGCTACAAACGAAAAAGTCGCACAGTGTCCGCAGAATATATAGAAATACAGGCCAAAAAGCATTATCTTGTAGAGGCTCCGAGTCCGCTTGCAGAAGTGACATTTACAGGCGCTGCAGCAGCATGGAGGATGTGGTGTTGTGGTAGGCTAAATCCATTTTACAGTATTTACACTGGACTACGTTTTCCGCCTAACGACGTGAAAAATTGTCCCACACCTTTGACATTTTCTGTCTTTTTCGCACTCTACCGGGGTCCACGTTGTCCGCCATGGCTGAAGAGAAAGTTAAGTTACATTCGCTACTCGCGTGTGCAGTCCAGTGGGCATGTGCGTCACTTATTTCAGTCCGGGTGAAACATGACCACGGGCGACTGCAAAGCCACGAATTAATTAAATATGAATTAAACGAATCCTCGAGGCAGAGAATTTGACTCGAGGATTTTTTGTACTCGAATTATTCGAGGTACTCGAGGAATCGTTTCAGCCCTAAAAATGTGCTCAGCTTCTTCTGCAGCTACCAACCCACAACACCATTTCCCACCTGTCTGTTTCAGAGAGAGTGCCAAGACCTGGCAGAGTTTGTTCGTAAAGTTCTGGGACCTTACTCCCTCAATGTTACCACGGCAACTCAGCTCTGCTCATCCTCCCTTTGCCAGGGAAAGGGTCGATGTGTTCGTCAAGATCCAGACAGCTCCTCTTATCTCCATCTCCCACCCCAATCCACGACAGAAGAGAAGGTGGCAGAAAAGGTGTGACGGTGGAAATTTAATGTAGATTTGATCCGATCTGGTGTTTAATGTGGGTTTTGTGTTTTAATCCACTTTTTGTGAATTGAATAAAAAGTTAAATCACAGGGGAGGCTGGCTTAACTATAAAAATTGACATTCTCCATTTGTTATCTTAACCGCTCCATTCTCAGTAGGGACACAGAGAGAAGTTGTGCATCTCTGACCGATCATCAGTCGATCATAGGGTCTCACAGAGACAATCAACCATTCACACATCTACTCACACCTAGGGACAATTTACAGTCTCCGATTAATGTGACATGCTCCTCCAAATGTGACACCAAGGCCATGAGTCGGAAACGTTAGAATGCCTTCTCCAGGTAAGGGACAAAGTCCTCCCCAAGTGGAGGAGTTTTAAGTATCTCTGGGTTTTGTTTGTGAGTGAGGGAAAGATGGAACGGGAGATCGATAGGCAGATTGGTGCTGCATCTGCAGTGATGCAGACGCTGTACCGGCCTGTCATGGTGGAGAGAGCTTCTCAGGTTCTCAATTTCATGGCCACTCTATGTTCCTACCCTCACCTATGGCCACGAGCTTTGGGTAGTTACCAAAATAACAAGATCGCAGACACAAGCAGCTGAAATGAGTTTTCCTCGCAGGGTGGCTGGGCTCTCCCTTAAAGATAGGGTGAGAAGTTGGTGATCTGGGAGGGGCTCGGAGTAGATCTGATGCTCCTCCACGTCGAGAGGAGCCAGTTGAGGTTGCTAGGGCATCTAATTAGGATGCCTTCTGGATGCCTCCCTGGTGAGGTTTCCCAATCACATCCAAACAGGAGAATGCACAAAGGAAGACCCAGGACATGCAGGAGGGATAATGTCAGGGTCAGAGGAGGACCAGTAATAAGTCACAGGCTGAAATCTGAGGCCAGAATCTGAAGAAAGCTCACGCAGCACCCTGTCTAACATGGTCGGACTGTTGAACGCAACACGTTTCACAGTAGCGGGGGAAGGAGCAAAGGAGATGTTCTCATAGAAATGAGAAAACTCTACAACAAGCTTGGTGATGTGACGTCTGACAGGGTTAACTGATGAGAAGCCCAAATTAAAGAGAGACCCAATTGTATTAGCAAATGAGAGTAACTCAGGGAGGAAGCGCTTATCCCTGCCATGGGTACCAGAAAGTTCAGAATAGGACACCATGAATTTCTGTGACTGCTGTAGCATGTGAGATTAAGAAAGCTCCCGTGACCCGACCTCGGACACGAGGAAGATAATTTACCAAACAAATGTGTTACTTCCAGACAAATTTACTATATTTGCTTTAACTGCTCTTTTGCACCAAACGTACACTGTAGCTTGTAAAAAAAAAATGCGTCTGTGTTTGCTACAATCTCATCTTCCCTTTACTCCCTCTTAGATGGATGCTGCAGAGGCCACCGACCAGCCAGATGTGGGCAGTAAAACATCTGAACCAGACCCAGCAGAGGTCTGGAAAAAAGACTTTACGTGTCAGTGGTACAAGAACGCAGACAGGGACGTCTCTGACCGGCAGCCGCTCAAAGACGGAGCGCCTTTTGGAGGAAACACTGAAGATGTGACGGAGACAACTGATTCTGCAACCAAAAGTGCCTCTGAGACCACATTTGCAGAAAGTGATTCACCCGTTGACAGAAGTCCAACAACATCACTGGATTTACAGTCTGACAGTGGCGCCGATCCACTGAGAGCTCCAGGCGTGCACCTTCTGCTGCTGGTGGCTGTAAGCTTCTACCTGGGACCTTCAACTGAAAACTAAACGCAGACTTTACTGGGGAGGTTTATGATGGAGCTGCGAGTGTAAACGCCACTCAAGTGTCCTTTAAATACCCTCAAAACTTCTGATTGTTTCTTTGTAGCGGAGTATTTTATTAAAACATTATTTTCAAAGAAATGTTGTTCATAGCTGGAGTTGCAAACCCGTTGTTAGATGTGCCAAACATAACAACAAATAAAATAAAGATCAGGGCTAAAATACCAATTTTAATAAAGAAAAAAGACTAAATCCACAAAACACCACTGAATTGGTTTTATTTGCATTCTTTTGTAATTTAAGTGAATTGAAATTAATTTTGACCCCAAAAAAACTGTATACTAAAACTTTCAGCATGCAAAATATTCCTATATTTATTTGTTGTTGCTTTTTGTCTTTTATTGTCGTGTTTCGGGTTACAAGGATCATGTCGTCACATGCAAAGAGTTGCACAACCACACACACACACACACACACACACACACACACACACACACACACTCTTGAGAGTCAATTTATAATCACCAAATAACCTAATATGCAAATTATTAATCTGTTGATGGAAGCCAGAGTACCTGGAATAAACCCACAAAGGCACAATAACATGCAGATCTGAACAAGGGACCTCCCCTGATGTGCCAACCAGCATAAAAAGTATTTTCATATAAATTTCACACATTATAATCATTTAATGTCTTTATTCGGAATACTGAAAAGAACAGAATGGTATGACGGCTTTAAAATATTAAGTATTTCTACTGAAACGCTTTTTTCTGAGATCGTTGGCGCCCCCTGTCACATCTCTGTGAAACTACATCTTTCAACATAAACAGTAAACGTGGCTTAAATGGTAAAAGATGAAGTTGTTTAATTTCCAGGTTGTGTTGGATTTTGCTTTTACACTTACTAAACACCAGCCTTCATTACCGCCACCGAAAAAACCCCACATCTGTTAAGTTCCTGTCAATCGTTTATTTTTAATAAAAAAAATGCACTCATGACAATGAAGACATTTAAATATGTTCTTTTGTACATAAATGTGACTTTACAACATCAAATGAATGATTTATTCATAAATATTAACAGACGTTACATCTCTTCTTACCTCAAAGATTCAACCAGACGTTCAAATACCCGTTTTCTACGTTTAGGTTCACCTTAAAATAAACAGACATCTTTCCAGTCACCACTGTCATCAAGGCATTAGGACTTATCTGTGTTTCAGCAATTTAATGATTGTTAATTTTCTCATTTACAGGTTATTTTTTTCAGAAAACATGAATGAATAGTGCTTGTTTTGTATCAGAATCACTTCCAGAACACATTTTGTACGTTCATTCTGTGTATTTCATCTAACTGTACTACCTGGTTCTTTTTTCCAGTAGCTTTTGGAGAAAATTCTGGGAGAAAATTCAAAAAATGCAAAGTCATGCTTCTGTCACATCCTGAGATGGCACTTCCAGGGAACAATTATAATTTTCTACATGTACAAATATCATCCACGTTCGAGCACTCCCCGTTACATAAACCCGTCTAAATAAAGTTTGTTTTTAAAAACATTTGAAATGTTTTTTGAATGAACCCATTTATTTTCTCCAAGATTAAAACTTTCTTGTCTTGCTTGTTTATCTTGAGAAGCTCCGTTGCTCAAATCTAACCTACAATATTAAAAATAAGTTGCCACCATTTGTCAAAGTATAACAAACAAATTAAGGGCTTCTAGAACCGTTAAATAGTAAACATGTACAGAGAACTATTACAGGAATCCATCAACTACTTATTAAACCTCTCATGTGTAGTTTTATTAATTCTGTGTGTTAATCCACAACATACAAGTATCTATTAACACTATATTTATTATTAGATCAGTTTGCTTAATTTTGTGTTTGGGGTATTTGTGTGTAAATGAGGACAGCACGAGAGCTGAAGGTAATCCAATTACATTTTAAGTATTTTTATTTAAACATAAAATTGAGGCTCATCAGTCTTTTGGTTGCTGATCATTTTGATGCAAATAAGCCACAAAAAATTTGAACTTCTAAATAAAATCTGATGTTTTCGATGCATAAAAGTGAACATTTTGTGGCAGCAGTAGCTCAGGTGGTAGAGCGGGTTTCCTCATGATCGGAGGGTCATGGGTTCGATTCCAGCTCCCGCCAGGGGTATCCTGCTGTTGTGTCCTTGCCTGTGTTAGTGGTGGTCAGAGGGGCCGACGGCACCAAATGGCAGCCTCGCCTCTGTCAGACCTCCCCAGGGCGGCTGTGGCTACAAGTAGCTTACCATCACTAGCAGTGTGTGAATGTGAGAGTGTGTGAAAGCATCTTTGGGTGTCTAGAAAAGCGCTATTTAAGTTCAATGCATTATTATTATTATTATTATTATTATTATCCAGATGTACTGAAGCATCTGAAAGTCCAACCATTCCAAGTTTCTGAAGCATATCCATATTTTATTATTTAAATTATTTTCTAAGACATGTAATCACTTCTCCATTCTTAGATTACAGTTACAAAGGAGGAGACAGAGTCCAGCTGGACTTACATGACCAACTGGCTTTGCTTTAAAGAGGCAGAGCTGTAATTTAGAGGTTAGCAGCTCCTTTTAAACAGACGTGACAGAATCTGAGTGGATGAAGGGAAACGCTCTTAGAAACCGGCTGAGCTGATTAGACAGAGGGCGTACGGTGAGCTGGATTCCAGAGACAAGCGTGCGTGCTGAGCAAACTGAATAAATAAACACACACGAGACCCACACTCCCACTGCCCCGATGTGGCTGCAGTGAAACAATCCGTTCGTTGCATAAGGTTAAAAAAGAGGCTTTCTGTTGCAGTGCAAATGTCTTCCAAGGAGTTTTATTCTCGCCTCTATAGTCAGAAACATCGCCCCCTTCTGGGGAGGAGAGTTTAGTGCAATCTGGACGGATACAAGTAGAACACGTTTCATACAGGTGAGGGGAAAAAAACACATTAATGTTCCTCCGCCATCGTCACGGTCTGTGAGCGTGTGCACATCCAGGACTCCACCAAATGTGTAAGATTTGGTTGATTAGAGGTAAAGAAAGCAGGAAAATGGTCGTTCTCCAGAGTAGGTAAACAATTCTTTTTGTCTTCAAACACAAAAGTGGTCGACTTCAAACGCTGAACAGCAGAACGATAGGCGGCGGTCATTCAGCATGCCAAGCAGCGATAGCTCCCAGACTCCGGCGGTGCACCCAATCTTCGCAGCGGTGTGTGTGTGTGTGTGTGTGTGTGTGCTACCTGCGAACATGTGCCTTGCTTGCCGACGTCCTTTGGTAGAACGAGTTTGACGCCGAGTCTGTTTCTAGAATCAGGTGGAAGGCGTTACTTGCACATTGCTTCTAGAGTGTCCAGAGTGCGCTTGATGTCCCGAATTTGAGCGGCCAGGGTGTGTATGGGCTGCATGGAGCGATCCAACTCCTCACAGCGGGCCATCAGCGTGTACATACCCTGTAGAAACATAAACACAGCTATGTGATGTGTGAAAAAAAAAATAAAACCTGAAGATAAACGTAGTAAATTAGAAATTTTATTTAACCTTTTCGATTATGTTTGTGCTCTTAGGTTTTAAAACCATTTATCTACTAGAGAGGCTGGATTTTAACCACAGAAACATATAAAACACTTTATTGTGGTAAAAAGACATCCAATAAGGTATTCAACGCCCACTCAAAAGTCTACAGACACACTTTTTCTTTCACCTTTATACTCATGTCTACAGACTCTCCCAGGCTGTCGACTGAGTCTCTGTAGGTCTGGATGTAGCCCACGCTCAGAGCTGTCATCTGCAGGAACAGAAGGACAAAGAGATCAGCTGGTTAGAAAAAATAAATAAGCATGTGGAGGTGTGTAGATTTCATTCTCACATTCTGGATGGTTCCGTTGAGGCTCGTCGTCATCATCTCCACACTCTGCGCCACTTCCTGAGTGTGTTTCTGGAGATCTGTTAAAACTGCAGGGTCGATTGGTGGGATGTCAGCCGGTTTCCGTGACGACCCTCGGCTTCGGTGGATGGGACCCGAACAATCAGCTGGTAACAAAAATGCACACACTATTCTCCAGAGGACACACACTCCTAAAACAGAACAAATGGGTACTTTAGAGGAGAGTTCACTCACAGTCGCTGCAGTCCAGGCTGGGCTTGGAACTCATTTTGATCTTCTGCTCCAGGTTCTTAGTGATGAAGTTTGTCAGGTCTCCTTCATGGCTGACGGTCCCCTCTAGCTCCAGAGCTGAAGAGATCGTGGCTCGTCGGCCCTCCGACTGCCCGCTTTTGCCCCCCCCTCGAGCTCCTGGGCCCCCTCAGAAAAACGCGCCAGCATCAAAAACGAACCAACAAGCCGAACTTTGACTAAAGCTGTGAGAGAAACCCACCTCCACATGCTTGGCTGATCTCATCTAGGCTCTTGCTGTCCTGCATTCCTCGGACGTTGCGAACCCACACCTGAGCCATGATGTGAGGAGGACACGGGGTGTCATCGGAGGTGAGAATGGGCGGAGAGGAAGAAGAGGAGGTACTGGGACCAGGGGCTGAGGAGGAGTAGTGCTGTGAAGACTGGAAACGGGATTTAAAGATGAATCAGAAGCACAGAGTTCATTAAAAAAATAAACGAGTAAATCATTTTTAAAAATCACTTTCACTGCCTTCAGCTGAGATCAGGATAATTACTGTACTACTAAAACGATTCCCTTACATACTGATTTTGATAAGCTAAAAAATAATCCCAGCATCAACTCACTCCCATCCCTGTTCTCCCTCCAGCGTTCCTCCACTTCTTTTCATTTTTCTCATCATTCTCCTCGTCCTGCTTCTCCTTCTCTCCATCCTCCTCTCCTTCTTGGCCATCGGCGTCTCCCGCTGCACCTCCTGCCTCGGTTTGCTGCCGGTCTGTGGCGATGCCGCCTCCTCGCTGATATGAGGTTCTGAACCCTCCGTGCTGTGATGAATCCCACATGAGAACCAAATTACGTGCGTCAGCAGTCTTCGGAATTTCTGGAATGTCTTTGGATTCCGAGTCTCCTGGACCCGACCCATCACCTAGAGAGAGAACCTTCTCCTGAGAGCCGTGAAACGACAGACTTGATATCCTCTCGTTAATGTCAGTCTCAGTGTACAAGTGGTTGTTTCCATCATAAACTCTGTTTTCCATATCAGCATGGTGCCCTGTATGTCTAGGGGGCCCATCCACCGGTAGTCTGCTCCCTCGATGTTTCACTGGGATCGGTATGTGAGGGCCATTTTCCACAGAAACAGGGGTCACCACTCCATTAGCCGTTTCTGGCACCTCAGTGCTGATAACAGGGGAGAGACTCATCTCTCCACCTGCTGTGGATTAAAAAAATAAAAAAACAGATGTTAATGAAAAACCGTAGGAGCAGGTCTGATTTCAGGATTTTTTTTTATGTTTCAAAGAGGGTTTATAACCAAATATTACATTAAAGAAAATAATGTAAACAAAACATAGCTAGCACCACTGGTTTTTGCTATTTTACTCTCTAACTCCACTGGAAAAATATGTATCTTAAAACAATCGCTTAAAATCGGCTCTAGTTTCTTTTGAAGTTGTCTTCAGAGCGATGGTGGCTAAGGAGTGAGTTCACCCTGTGACGGGTGGGTTGCTGGTTTAAACCCAAGCTCCGTCTGAGTCAGTCGTTGTGTCCTTGGGCAAGAAACGTCACCCTCCTTTCCTGCTGGCAGTGGTCGGAGGGACCGGTGGTGCCGATTGTGTGTCAGCCTCACTTCTGTCAGTGTGCCCCAGGGCAGCTGTGGCTACGATGCAGGTCATCACCATCATTGTGTGACAGACGGTAGTGTAAAGCACTTTGGAGTCCTCTAACGTAGAAAAGTGATTTACAAATGTACTGTTAGAGAACTTTTTAACCCTGGCACAGCTGACTTCTGCTCGAGTGGACTCCAGTTACATATGGTGCATAGACATAAAGGTTTTTACATTTAAGGAAAAGCTGTATGGAGTTGCACTTGCTTGCATTTTTATAAGCAACAAGGTTGCAGGTTCAAGACTCAGCTGCAGCTTTCCTGCATGAAGTGTGCGTGTTCTTTTGATGCATATGTGGTTTTGTCCCACAAACAAACAAAAACATACATGTTCGGTTATCTGACATGGTCATGGACTGGTGACCTGTCCAGGATTTACCCTGACACTTCCTCAGTGATTGCAAAAAAAAAAAGTGCCACGAAACTGATGTTGGTTCCCATTTCAACTTTGTGATTCGTAAAGGGCATTTCCATTAAACGTTTCCATTCCTTGAGCATTTTAATCCGCACTAATTATAAAACTACAATACTTAAGACTCTTCAAGCCTGGATTAGACCATTCTACACTACGAGCAGAGCATGTAAAACACAGCTTGTGCTTTGGTCTAGATCTTTTAGTTATGCTCAGAGTGGAATAATGACTTGGAGTCGCCCTTTCTAAACCAGAAACCAAAAATGGGAGCAAACTTCCGCTTCGTTTATGTATTACTAAGTAAGGTAACACCTATGGGAGCCGCTTTTGAATGTTTTCCTAAAGATATTACTGAGTTATTTTGTTTATCTGCCTCAACCTTGAAACAAACCTAAATCAGTCAGGCTTTAACCAGTGTAAGGTGACGACACATGCCGATTTTCCAAACATGATTAAGACAAGCTCCTAGGCTAACTTTATCCGAATGATATTTGTTTTTTCACCAAGTCTCCTCCCGTGAAGACTGAAGTATAGCACAAAAACTGACACAAAGGCACAAAGGAACAAGATTAAACAGGCTGTCACTGTTGAGGAAGTGGATGTAATTCCTTCGCTGTCAGATGATGTTGACAGCTAAGCGCAGCTAACGCTAGCCGCTCGGGCCTGGAACTCTCCAAAAAGTAAAATGTTGCTTTAATTTGTCCAAAAAGGTCTCAAAGTTAATCAGATTTAGAAGTAATATACATATCTATTTCAACAAATTATTAAATAGTGGTTTCGTGAATCTAAACCAAAGAATACACTCACCAGGCAGCTCAAATTCTGACAGATGTAAGCAACAACAGGGTCCGGCCAGAATATCCTTCCCCTCAAATCAAAATAATTTTAGTTCCGCTGCTTCACTTCTTCTTTAGATACAGTGCCCACATAAACAAATCGTTGCTAAAAGCCAGACAAATATGTCATCAAGTGTAGTGTTTTTCTAAAATATAAAAATTTCATTCAAGAGATAATTGTATTTATTTATTTATTTGTTAAATGAAAGCTTTTTTCAGGCTTCTTTAACGTGCATATCTGTTAAAATTATGAGAAACATTGAATTTTTATTCAAACTTATTAATGCTTATAAAGTTTATTTTGGCTTATATAAGAATTATTCATTGTAGGGATGCTTTTACTTCGCCAGCAGATGGAGACAAACTCCAGAGGCCCACAAGGATCTGACTTATAGCAAGTTAAAAACTGTTTAATGAAAAAAAAAACACTTAGAGATTGAACTCATTAAAAATGCTTACTTTGGTGTTCCTTTGATCTCTTCTTTACAATCAAATAATGTTTGTTACATATCTCTTAACTTGAGAAACTCGTTGGTTTATAGCTGCACATAAACACATTGATTATGTCACGTTGTCATTCTCAGTGGAATTGTTTAGCTGTCATGGTTGCAGTTTGTGCTTCACTTACATCTGTCTCTAAAGTTACTTTTATATTTTAATGATTCTTGTGCCTTTTGCCTTTCATAAAAGCAACGGAACACTGAACAAGTTGTTGGCTATATAATAGACATTTAACTTATTGTCACAAACTTAAAGTGGCATTTTTTAGTTTATTTTGTTTTGGCAACATGATGATGATCACATTTCTGGCTTTTTATCTTTATTGCAGTGATAATGCATTCAAACAGATGTTTTCAGTTGTTTCTTACATTCTAATGACTTTAAAACCATTGCCTAGAGCAAGGGTAGGCAACCCTGGTCCTAGAGAGCTGCAGTCCTGCTTATTTTCCAACTATCTTTGTTGTTTCTGCTGTTGAGTACCTGGATCAGATGTGTTCAGCCAATTAGAAGCTGAAAGTAAATGCATGGCTGGAAAACATGTAGGACTGTGGCTCTCTAAGTCCAGGGTTGCCTACCCCTGGCCTCTTTCTTACCAAAAGGGTAAAATTTGCAGATATTGAAACAAGACATCCAAATGGACCTCAGAAGTTGACGGTGAACTCCTAAATATTACACATTAAATCATCTAAGCCCCGTCTACTACTGAAAGGGCCATTGTCTTGATTATAAAAGAGAACTGAACCTCTGAAACAGTTTTCACATGGTTTTACCTTGTAGAGAGTTCAGATGTCAGTTTTCCTTCTGTTTAGGACAAGTTAGTAACTCAGAACCTAAGAAAGTCCCCATGAGTGCAAAAGTGAACTGGAGAAACTGTCCTGCACATTCTGAGTAACCAGACTCAAAAATACAACATGCCAGCGATTGCAAATGTTTACTGCATAACATCTTTATTCTCTGAATTACTCAAATGAAACAAAAACAAGTCAACTGGAGGCTGCAGGACCTAATTTCCCACCCCTGTGCCTTCAGAGTGGAAGTTAAACCAGTGTTTGTGGCATTTGAAACCCCTGAGGGTGGTTGGAAATGACAAACCCTGCAGAAGAGGAGAGAGGACTCAAAACCACTCTGCCACCACATCTAAAGTTCTTGTAAAATTTCCAATCCAGCCCATCCATTCAGGCCAGCTGCGCCCCGTCTCTGTGGAAAAAGAGCTTGTGTGACGTACATCAAAGCCTCTGACATTCACCTAAATATGTCCATAAATAAGCCATCGTTCCCGAGGTTCCCAGCAGAGTGCTCCGTTACCAGATTCTGGTTTTCCTTGTGAAGAATATTATTGTCAGAGAGAAGCTGTTTTAGCAGTTCATTATCTGCCACAAGAAAGACAACAATTAGGAAAATAAGGTATGCAAACTAAATTGAAAGCATGTGTCTTCATACATGTGTGGTTTTTCATTATTAAAGCTGGAGACTGCTTGTTTTATGTTGGTGGTCAAAGCAACAGCAGAGCCTGTAAATATGAAAACCACAAATCACAACTAGAAATTGCATCAATATTCCAGAAGCAAGTCTTTGTGCGACATAAACAGAACCATTTCCCTCTGAAATGAGAACACTTATGAAACAAACTATTTTTCTTGCATTTGGATATTTTTGATTTGGCAATAATAAGGTATAGAAATATTGTTTGACAGTGTTTCCCTTCATTCCCCCCCTTTAACCCATAGGGCCAACGTCTATATTTAGACACTTCCACTCACATCATAAATGATGTTGGTGTGCCTTTTCATGAACTCTTAGAATTAAGAGATTTCACCCAAACAATCATCAAAGATCAAGCTAGTCACGATTTGCACCATGGCGCCACTCCACCGATCAGGGCGGGGCTATAATGCGCCAAACATTGGTGTGTCTGCAGAGCCAGAAAACTCCTCGGTCTCCTTTCGTGTTTACGGTCAGATCTCTAAAACTAACAATGCTAGGTTTATGAAACTCTCACATCACAAGGTTGACTAGTTGTGCTAAATAAATATATATGTGTTGTAAATGTTAATCTCAATAAAGTTGGTGAAATATTGGCATGAAAATCAAATCTGCCTTGAACAAATAAAAGAAATGATGATCTCCATATATAAAATGCTCATCTAGCATTGACACAGGAAAGAGTATAATCACAAGTCTTTGCCTGTTATTTTGGAAAACAAAAAGCTTGATTAGCTGATGAAAGTAGTCCTACCAACTCCAAACTCCAGTGAAAAGGGATACTGTGGTGACGTGTGCAAACCTCTTATTACCCCTACAAGAAAATTTTATGAGCAAAATGGTGCAAAGTCTCTTTGGTTGGTTGGCTGGGCAGCAGGAAAAACGAAGAAATGCTTCTTGAGGGCAAAACCATTTCCTCAAAGAAGTTCTTTCATAACCCAAAGTGGGTTTTTTTTATCTTTCATTCTATTATTAAATTCTTTGTAGGTCACCAGAATTAAAATGAGTTAAAAGAAAAATGGAACTTTCATGAATATAACTAGTAAAAGTCAACATTAGTTGCTTTGGAGATAGAGCCTGTATGTTTTTGCTTAAAAAATGTGGAGTTTGCCTGAACAGATTAGCATAAGCTCACTCATGGTTATGAACTATGTCTGACCCAAAATTTGGTCAACAGCAAATCACAACATGGTTGAGGCTGCTGGGTCTCTGGTATGTCTGGAACGTATCCTTCACTCCAGAGATTGCTCTGCAGTTGTTAAACACTGAATGATGAAGAGCTGCAAGAGTCACTTTGGCAGAAACAGAAGGCGGTTTGGTGTTGAGTGGTATGTTGCTGTTTTGGAGGGGAACCAAGGTGTACAGTAAACACGAAAAAGACCACGACTGGAATAGAAGTCGTCTCACTGTGGAGTGTCCAAACAGGATGACTTTAACACGCTGAAAGAAAAGCTGAATCCAGTTTGGAATCAGGTTTAAATGGGTTGGGATTGTGTTTAAAACTATCTTTCATGGTAAAACAGAGGGATTATTTCCACTAAAAATGTGTTTTATTAGTTTTATTTGACAGCATAAGTCAGTTTTTTTCCACAGCAAACAAGAGCAGTGAGTAGTTCAGGCAAATAAATACATTCCTTAAAGGTGAACTAAACCACAAAACACACATTTGCTCAGTTGAAAGCAGAACTTTATACATATATACAAAAAGAAAAGGAAAGTCTCCACTCATGAGATAAATTTACACAATGACAGGTCAATTCCAACTGCAGAGAAGCAGTTCTGGAAAATCCCAAGAGACGAGCACCGGCACGGACATGTAAATATAACATAAGGGAGTAAAAACACACAAAGGTCCTTGTAATGATTGAAGAGCGGCCCTGCAGCGAGTCTTCAAGAGAAGCCCTGGAAGTTTAGACGGTTCGGTACCGTCGTAGACGTGCAGGCTCTAACATGAATGTTGTTCATCAGACAAATCCGTGTTACAAAACTTTACACACACAATATCACACACTCTAAGCACAATTCTTTTCTGTTATTTGGTTTCACGAGTAGATAGATTTTCATCTGAATAGAGTCAACCGTCGGAAGAAGAAGCAACTCAAAGTTCCCACAAATAGAGTGACTTTATTTGTAATTCTCCTTAAATTTTAATAGTTTTTTATATTATTATTATAATAATTAAGCTTTTCTGGGTTTGGGGTGTTGGTGTAAATATTCAGATAGCACTGCATTGTCCTTGTTTTTACTTTTGAAAAAGATGGCCCAGTTTAAATAAGTTTTACCTGCAGCAGACAGCTAGCACACTGAAAATAAGAAGTACACACGACTGGTAAAATCCACTTATTGTAAGTTACTATTACTGAGACAAACTAGTACTATGTAATTTAAAATACGCTGAGATTTTACCGATGAACAAAACACAACTCAGAAACACTAGTTCAGTTAGCAAATTTCCAAGTACTTGGTACTAGTTTGTCTTAGTTAACATAACTTGTATTTAAGTGCATGTTACTTTGTAAGTATTAGTAACTCCAACACAGAATTACCTAACCCCATGTACTTATATTTTAAGTTAAATTGCTTTGAATACTTTCTTCAAGTAATCTCAACTAATCAGATTTTACAGTGCGTCTGAATACTTAAGACCGTACATTTTGAAACGCATTCTGCTCAAAACAAAGAACAAGTGCTTGTCATGAATTTTCTGATGCAAAGTGGATAAAAGTTTACAAACAGCATTCACCTGGACATTTTAAATATTTAAGACTTTAGCTGATTTGAGCTCAGTTTATAAGGCAGCATTTTTAAGTAGTTGGAGGATTTTAAAGCATGACAGACCACACACGTGCCAAAAAGTCATGGATACTTCAGTTCTGGTACAACAGTGTGGTGAGCGGCAATGTGGCAAAAATACAGACTACTCACAAAAAATTTTCAAACATGAATGGAAAATCTAGCAAGATCAAACTTGACCTTGAAGTAAACAAACATGGTGAATGAGGAGCATGCAGTCCGCTTAGCTTTCAGGTTGGCTAGACATGACATTCAACAGGTGGCACGCTCATTTGTCCTCAAAAATTGGACCAAGACCATCAAACCATTTGAAAACCTGAACGTATTATCCTTGTTTCTGAGCAGACCAGAGGACTCTTAACACACCACACAAGGTAGGAATATCTGATAAGATTATCTTTAAAGCCGTTGTCGGAGGGGAGGATCTCAGCACTATTGTTATGCCTTAAATCTGCTCTTCAACCGACCCTCATTTTGAGCTACCAGTTTACATCATTTACCCAAAATTTTTTCTAACTAATTTCCCCCTGAATGGCGTCTACTGCAGGTAACACACTGACTACTCATAAAGACTCAACAAAAGCCCACATCATGTAAAACTGTTTCTTTAGGCCTAAAATCAAGACAAGTGCTTATGGTGTCAGCAGATGGCATCAAATTTCGAGTCAGAACAGCCACGACTACAAAACTCTAGATTTTAATAAAGTAAGTTAGAGTCAGAAGTGTTAAAATCTCAACAGAAAAGGTCACTATTGTGTGCCTCAAATAGGAGACAACACCGTGATAACAATTCAGCAATGATGATAAGGTCTGATAGTATTTTACAACATTATCGCCGAATATTCTCAAACCTGTGCTTGATCACTGGTGAAGGCTGAAACCATGAAACCACATTACATTTCTGTCCAGACGTAAGCTGAAGTCCCAGTTTAGCAAATTTACTGGTTTAGCTTGTGAAATTCTGTTTGAGCTTCTTTCACCCAGATCCCACAAATGTCAAACACACATAAAACACATAGAGACACACTGTGCAGAAATATATACAGCCAGACGACTAAATGATCTGGCATCCTGCAGGTTTTAGATGGGGGTGTATTACAGGCTGAGATGCAGGCTCAGCTTCATTGAGTTGGATGAAATTAAATACCGAACACAAGGGTGTTATTCCATTTTTAGACCTCAGTTTTAGTTTAAAAAAATAAATAAAGAAAGAAAGTCATTCTCTAAAAAAATAGCATTTCTTAAAATGAAGTAAATATTCTTAAATTTGATTTATTTGCAAGTTTTAAGAGTTTAGCCAAGCAACTTTTGCTTACCGCATTGGCAGATTTTATTTACTCAGAACAAGACAATTTTGATCATATTTAAAAATGTTTACCTTATTTGAAGTTATGCTATTTTCCTTAAGATTTTTTTTCTCTTTTTAGACTAAAAATAAGATAAAATGTCTAAAAATGAAACATTTTTTGTAAAAACGGCAGTAATGTTGAGTTGGACGTTTGTGGTTGAAGCTTTTGTTTTCTATCCACTTTTCTGGGAGACAAATAAAGAAACAAATCAAAGAAAAACACATTTTAAATGTGGAGTGAGAAGGTGCATTAACAGAAACAAATAATAACTAAACATCAAATATACACACAAAAACAGGCCAACAAAGAGAATCACATATGGGACAGGTGTTGGCTGTGTGAGCTGAGTTACAGTAAATAAATATCAGACAAAATAAAGAGAAATCTGGAGGAAGCAGTGTTGTTCAAACATTTTAACACAGAAAAAAAATCACCATTTACTGTCCTGTAAAGTCACCGAAGCTGTTTTGAATCTCACAGGAAGTGAGCCCAGCACCGTCTCTTCATGTTAAAAGTTTCTTTAACACACACTGAGCCTGGTTAATAGTTTGTGGTCAGATGATTTGACCAGCCGTCACACAAAGGCAGAAATAGTCCGTAGTTGGACAAACATGCGAGTCATACGGAGATCTTTGAAATGATGTATCACGTTTTCATCTACAAGGAGAAAATATTTTAAATGAGTTGTGATATTTTACAATGTTGGGTGTGATGAATTACCTTCCACAATCAAAATTAAAACTATTTCTATTTTCAACAGATACAGAGCACAAAACACTGTTTCTACACTGTAAAATCTTATTAGTTAGACTTACTTGAAAAAAGCATGGGAAACCGATTGGAATAAAAAAAGAAGTAAATGGGAGAAAGTGTGTGTTTACGACTGCTTAAGTATAGAAATCTAACAAAAAAAAAACTAGTTCAGTGAGCAAATTTCTCAGTACTTTGTACTGGTTTGTCTTAAGCTGGGCGTACACTGTGCGACCTTTTCACTCGCAGCGTTCAGCTTCAGCTCAAACTGTACGACTTCCTCGCAGGGCAGATCTCACGAGTCATGTGCTCACGCTGTACGACCCAGTTCTCGGATTCAACCTGACTGCTCACACTGTACGTCTGGTAGCAACACGTCGGCCCTAAAAATGTGCTAAAAATAGCAGTTTTTACACAACACGTCAGACTTTGTTGTCTTGCCTGTTGTCCTTCGGGAGTGCTGCAGGAGGACACACAGGGATTTATGGGGGTTGGATGAGGAAAACGAAATAAAGAAAGTAAATCTGTGTTTTGTGATCAGTTTAATTTGACATGAACACGACAAACACGCTTTCTTGACAATCTTTGTGAGTAAAAAAACATGTAGAAATAAAAACGAACAACGTGTGTTATTAGGGAAATAGCGAGCGAGCGGTGTTGGTGCAGGATTGCGCATGCGACGTGAGCGGTTCTGGTACATTTTGGGTCATAGCTGCTCGCAGCTCCGCTTCAACAGTGCGATACCCTCACGAGGGACGAGCAAAATATCAAACACGCCAGAAGTCCGTGTGAGCTCACGATTGCTGACCAGTAGCCGGTCACGTGGTGTTAATTGCCTCTCATAACCCCCTGTACACTACTCGACGCTCAGCGCAAAACTCGCCCCGATCTCGTGGATTCTTGCACGAGTGGAAAATTGGCACAAAAAGTCGCACAGTGTACGCCCGGCTTAAGTTATAGCACCTTGCATTTTGGTGCGTGTTATTTTGTTAGCATGAGTGGCTCCAACCCATATTTGCTTACTTTTGTGTAATTATTTTTTTGATTAGCTTGCTTTTTCGAGCAAAGGTAATTAATCTATTTTTACAGTGTACTAGAAATAAGACTTACATCAGCACAAATGAAAATACGTCAACATAACAAATAAGAAATTGGGGTTTAAATGTAAAACAAGGTTGCATGAATAGTTGTGAAGGACAGCAACACTGTGCGAAAGCTGCACCCAGACTAGCCATTAGCTCATCTGTCCTGAAGGATATTACCTCTAGTTCTCCTAACGGAGGCCATTCAGGAAGCCAATTATGGAAGGCAAGACAGTAATAAATTATAACTTAAACCAAACTTACTTTAGCATATCTCCTGCATCTGTAAAATGTGGCAACGATGAAATTCCATGAAAAAAATACCTACATTTGAAGCAGGATGGATGCTTTTTTTTGTGTTTTACTCTTTTTGTTCCCACATGGAATAAAATTAGAGCATCTTGAGAGTGAACATGAGAGCTGAACACAGACAACGCAATGATGTGTCCATGTGGCTTCAGCACAGAGGACCAACCCCATCAAAGGCTGTTGTTACGATTTTCTTTTGCCTTTCATCTTTGTGGTTAAAGTCAGTCATCTGGCGGTCGAACCCCACCTAGCTAAAGAAACTAACAGAGCTCTCACTGAAACACGTGTGCTTCACGTCACCATCAAGAGGAAATTCAACTATGGGGTCTTCAATCATAGCTGGTGTGTTAATCCACCACCCTGATAGCTAATAAGTAGCATTTGAATGTTTCATATCAGCTACTGATTATTTTCAAAATAATTCCACCCCTGATAGATTTATTGACATTGTTTTGCTTAGTTGCACATCTGATATTTGACAGCTAATGAAAAACGCCTACGTTATTTCAGCACAGACTGCATGTTTGCTTTTTGAATAGCTTCAACTTCAACACTGAAGCTCGTCCAAAAAAAAAAGCGTTCATGCCATTGACCTCCCAGTTTGTGGATTTCTGAGAATGAACTTTGAACTTTGAGCACATCACAGGAAAAAAGAGTGAAAAAAAGCTTATTTCAACCACGACATCTCAAAATAAACCATTATCTGTTTTTTACCTGTAAAAGCCACCAGCGAGTTCCCTCTTTGCAGAATTCTCTCTCAAAAGTCCGGCTCAACACAGAGTGAGTCACACTGACTGATGTGGAGGTGCCGTTTGTCCTTCATTCAACATGCTACACAGCCTAAAATATTCTACTTCTGCTATTTTGTTAACAAAGTTATTTTTTTCCAAGAGAAACCGTCTCCCGGGTGTCCGAGTCCTCCTGTACAAACTTGAGACAATTATTTTGCTGCTAAAATGAAAAGATGCTTTTTTCATGTTTGTATATAAGTGCATGCGCTTGATGTAGTCTCTGTACATAAGATGTGTGTGTGTTTAAGCATAAGTTAAGTGTTGCGTGTGTTTGTGTACATTTAGGCGCTCCTCGGTGCCCTCTGTTGCGGCTTGCTCCTGCTCTTCCTCCCCACTGTGCGCCCTCCTCCCCCTCCTCCTCCTCCTCCTCCTCTTCCTCCACCGTGCTTTGGCTTGTCTCCCCTCACTTTCTCCTTGTGCGTTGGCACCATGAAGTCAGTGTGGTGACGCTGGTTGCGGGGTGGACGGTATCCCAAGGCCCTGCAGTGCTGACCCAGGTTTCCAGGGTGAATCAGCGCCATCACATCCTCGTACCACGGCTGGGTTCCCGTGTTCTGGTAAGACGAGCCGGCCATGGATGCTAAGATGTGATTGGCGGAGGGGCTCCAGACAGCCAGGCGGACGGTTACTGCAGTCCAGTGGTAGCCGTGCTCCTCCACCTGACAGTGGTAGATGCCACCGTGAGAGAGCTCGGCTCGTCGAATCAGGACGCCACGCTCAATCACCACCATCTGGTCCCCTGTTGTCACCTGGAGAGATAGGAGTAATCAGCTGTAAATAATGTGTGAATAAGGTCTTGATGGAATACTTTGAAAATATTCATTTCTAATGCACCTGGTTTAACTCGGCACTATTCTCCCCAGCTTGTTTGTACCAGGTGACAGCAGCATGTCTGGATCGAGGCAGGCACTCAAGGTAGGTGCTGTTACCCTCGGCAACCATCATTACCCTCTGCTCTGCTTCTACCTGCAACCCGGCTGAAGGACATTGCAGAAAAGATGAGACAAGTTATGCATTTCTCCTCGGCATTTGTCTGAAAAGGTGGCTAGAATTTTAAATCTTTAGAAACACAGAAAATTTAGCAAGTTTGAGGAGTTCTAGCCAAGCATCCATCCATCCATCCATCCATCCATCCATCCATCTATCCATCCATCCATCAATCCATCCATCCATCCATCCATCAGTCCGGGTTCAGGTCGCGGGGGCAGTAGCCTTAGCAGGGAGGCCTGGACTGCCCTCTCATCCAGCCACTTGGACCAGCACCTCCAGGAGAATCCTAAGGCGTTCCCTGGTCAGCCGTGAGACAGTCTCTCCAGCATATCCTGGGTCTTCCTTTCGTCCTTTTCCTGGTTGGACGTGCTCTAAAAACCTCACCAGGGAGGCGTCCAGCAGGCATCCTGACCAGATGCCTAAGCCACCTCAACTGGCTCCTCTCGATATGGAGGAGCAGCGGGTCTACTCCAAGCCCTTCCCAGATGACAGAGCTTCTCACCCTATCTCTAAGGGAGAGCCCAGCCACTCTGTGGGGAAAACTCATTTTGGCCGCTTGTATTCTTGGTCTCATTCTTTCGGTCACTACCCAAAGCTCATGACCATAGGTGAGGGTAGGAACATAGATCGACCGGTAAATCGAGAGCTTTATCTTCTGACTCAGCTCTCTCTTCACCACGACAGACTGGTACAACACCCGCATCACTGCAGATGCAACGCCAATCCTCCTATCGATCTCACGCTCCAGTTTTCCCTCACTCATGAACAAGACCCCGAGATACTTAAACTCCTCCACTTGGGGCAGGACCTCATCCCTGACCCGGAGAAGGCATTCTACCCTTTTCTGAATCAAGACCATGGTCTCAGATTTAGAGGAGCTGATTCTCATCCCAGCTTCTTCACACTCGGCTGCGAACCACTCCAGCGAAAGCTGAAGATCACGTTCTGATGAAGCCAACAGGACCACATCATCTGCAAAAAGCAGAGACCTGATCCTCAGGCCACCAAAACAGATCCCTTCAACACCTTGGCTGCACCTAGAAATCCTACAGGTTGTGAACCAAATCGGTGACAAAGGGCAGCCTTGGCAGAATCTAACTCTCACTGGAAACAAGCTCAATTTACTGTCGGCAATGTGGACCAAGCTCTGACACCGGTCATACAGGGACCTACCAGCCCATATCAAAGAGCCTGGTACCCCATACTCCCGAAGTGCCCCCCAGAGGTCCCCCTGAGGGATGCGGTCGAATGCCTTCTCCAAATCCACGAAACACATGTAGATTGGTTGGGCGAACTCCCACTCACCCTCCAGGGTATAGAGCTGGTCCAGTGTTCCATGGTAGGATGAAAACCACATTGCTCTTCCTGAATCCGAGGTTCGACAATCCGCCGCACCCTCCTCTCCAGAACCCTGGATTAGACCTTACCAGGGAGGCTAAGGAGTGTGATCCCCCTGTAGTTGGAACACACTCTGCGGTCCCCCTTTTTAAATACGGGGACCACCACCCCGGTCTGCCAGTCCAGTGGGACTGCCCCGATGTCCACGCAATATTGTAGAGCCGTGCCAGCAAACACAGCCCCACAGCATCCAGAGCCTTAAGGAACTCTGGACAGATGCCACTGAGAAGCTTTTTGACCACCTCAGTGACCTCAGCACCAGAAAGTGGAGAGCCCAACCTAAAGTCCCCGGACTCTGCTTCCTCACTGGAAGACGTGTCAGTGGGACTGAGGTCTTTGAAGTACTCTGCCTAAGTAAATTCTATTTAAGAATATTTAGTTTATTTCATGAAATGTAACTTTTATAATGTAGAAATCGGATAAACTCTAAATAAAATTTGCCCCGCCCACATTCATTCTGGTTTTACTTTATACTTCAATAAATGTTGCACCACAAAGTGTTCACATGCATTTACATTTAAAACATGAATTATTAACTGAACCTCACCTCCCTGTCGGACACACTGAGTCAGTGGATCTTCATCCTCCCCTAGGTGACGAGCGTTTCTCCTGCAGAGAAACAGATGCTACAGTTAGCTTCTGTTTCCTTTGAGAAGTTTATGGCAGACAGAAGAAAAAAGCCAAGAAAGTCTTAATTAAGTCAGCTCATTGTGCAAAGTTCATCCTGATGGTGGCACCAGAGGGAAGTTCATGTTGTATTCAAATAACGGATGATGAAATTGTTAGCAAATACGTCAATGTCGCGGCAAAGACAAATGATTTCATGAAAATTTTACCAGAAAATTCCTGGTAAACCACAGTTTAATGATGCTTGAAGTCTAATTAAAAATATCTGACTTGTTTAGTCATTTAAGCCACATATTCTAACTCATAACACATGTCCTAAACTCGACTTTAGATGAGTGATGGGTCTCACATTCAGGCTTCCTCTTGAGGAGGAATTAATCCTAGGCAGTGAAATTATATCAGTGCTGTTTTCATCATAAATGTTGCAGGGTTTCCTCCCTACCGGCGCACAGTCGGCATGTAGGGGCTGCAGGCGTGTCCGTCCCAGGTGCAGTAGGGATCCCGAGCCAAGCAACACTCGGCGCAGGCCTGACCGTACAGCTCACACTGATACAGAGCCAGCTGGGACACACCCTCTCTGGAGCCAACAAACAGCCACTATATAAGGAGAAGGAGTGGGGTTGGGGAAGAGGTGGGCAAGAGGGTGAAAATATTAAGAGGAAACATTAAAGGAGATGTAGAATAATTGATGGACAAAGATGAGCAGAAGTCTCAATCTGATAAAGCAATAAAGCCACACCCATCATCAGTGCTGAGGAAAACCTTCAACTCCAGCAGTGTGTGTGTGTGTGCGGGGGGGGGGGCATAGAAATGTGTTGATGTATTATGCTTTTTATGTTTCAGATATGCTGTCTGGCTGTGTGACGGAGTGGCGGAATTTCTCTTTTATGAAATTCAGACTATTTTAATAATGCACAGTGTGTGTGTGTGTGTGTGTGTGTGTGTGTGTGTGTGTGTGTGTGTGTGTGTGTGTGCGGTATCAGTTCGTTAAGGTGCTGACTGAGGTGCTGTAACCATGGCAACTGGTGATGAAGATGTCCTTGGAGATGCAAGGTGGAGAGAAAAGTGATAAGTGTGATGTTGTTTTTGTTCTTGTGTGTGTGTGTGTGTGTGTGTGTGTGTGTGTGTGTGTGTGTGTGTGTGTGTGTGTGTGTGTGTGTGTGTGTGTGTGTGCGTGCATGCGTGTGCGTGCGCGTGCGTGTGCGTGCGTGTGTGTGTGTGTGTGTGTCTTGGGAGATGGAGTTTGGAAGTTTGACAGTGAGTTTTTGTCTCATCTGTTACCTTTTTCTTTGACAGAGTCATTGCTGTCACCGGTGACTTGTGCTGAGGGGAGAGAAGAAAAAATGAGAAACATTTTGAAATTATTTGGAGATAAACAGAAACAGCAGATAGTAGGTATAGGTGGGTAGGTAGGTAGGTAGGTAGGTAGGTACGTGGGTAGATAGGTAGGTAGGTGGGTAGGTAGATAGGTAGGTAGGTAGGTATAGCTAGGTAGGTAGGTAGGTAGGTAGGTAGTTAGGTAGGTACTTAGGTGGGTAGATAGGTAGGTAGGTGGGTAGGTAGATAGGTAGGTAGGTATAGGTGGGTAGGTAGTTATAGGTGGGTATGTAGTTATAGGTGGGTAGGTAGGTATAGGTGGGTAGGTAGGTAGGTAGGTAGGTAGGTAGGTATAGGTGGGTATGTAGGTAGGTAGGTAGGTAGGTATAGGTGGGTAGGTAGGTAGGTAAGTAGGTAGGTATAGGTGGGTATGTAGGTAGGTAGGTAGGTAGGTATAGGTGGGTATGTAGGTAGGTAGGTAGGTAGGTTGGTAGGTATAGGTGGGTAGGTAGGTATAGGTGGGTATGTAGTTATAGGTGGGTAGGTAGGTATAGGTGGGTAGGTAGGTAGGTAGGTAGGTAGGTAGGTATAGGTGGGTATGTAGGTAGGTAGGTAGGTAGGTATAGGTGGGTAGGTAGGTAGGTAGGTAGGTAGGTATAGGTGGGTATGTAGGTAGGTAGGTAGGTAGGTAGGTAGGTAGGTATAGGTGGGTATGTAGGTATAGGTGGGTAGGTAGGTAAGTAGGTAGGTATAGGTGGGTAGGTAGGTAAGTAGGTAGGTAGGTAGGTAGGTAGATATAGGTAGGTAGGTAGGTAGGTAGGTATAGGTGGGTATGTAGGTAAGTAGGTAGTTAGGTAGGTATAGGTAGGTAGGTAGGTAGGTAGGTAGGTAGGTAAGTAGGTAGGTGGGTAGGTAGGTAGGTAGGTTTCACGTCCTTGTCCAATAAAAGCTGATGTTATTGAGGTTTAAAGAACAACTCAAAATCAAAACATGTATGTTCTTGTTCAGCAAACTATTGTTTAAAGTACCACTAAAGTGTTTGTATCACTTTAAGCTACTGCTCTCAAACTGGTTTCAGTGATTTTTGAGCCATAATCTTGTGTAAAATCTCACTGGACAGCACTCTAGCCCTCTGCTGCCCAAGAACTGATTTAACAGATTTGTGGTTTGGGTAGGTTCACTAACGGAAGGTCCCTACCCACCTTACAGCAATAGCTGTGTTATGTGCTGGTAGCGTGCATAAAGGCTAGCAGTTAGCTATTTCAGTTCACAAACACAAGAAGAAGAATTTTGCTTTTTCTGTGGCACCATGACACAAATAAAAACAATGTATTTGAAGGCAAAGTAAAGCGCTAAAACCAGAGTGAACATTGGTGTGGCCTACACTCATTTAAGGGAGCTGACGGAGGATACAAATTCATGGACTGATGGTGACCTGGCTTTGTTGACCTGGACTTTGTTAGGTATTTTATTAAATGTTCATTTTGGTTGATCTGTGAATCTTTCTTTGTGTGGGGGGTGATGGGCTCCTGTGAAATTTGTGATGCCTAGGCCAACTCTCTGGAATGTGGTATCTAATAGACTAGTGTGACTCTGTAACCCGAGAAGGCCCCGCCTTCTCCATCCTTTGCTGAATAAAGCCACTGGAAACTGTGAAGGAAGTGAGAGACGCATGGCAGCTAGCTCTGGAGAGGGTTTGTGTCATAGGTGGTCTCCCCACCATTTGGTAATTCAGTGTAAAATGTCTCCCGTTTGTGATGTGTGTTCATTTCAGGTTCCAGGGTTATGGAGAAAGTAAAAATTACCCAACATTTTGGTGGAGAATGGGGGCATGCAGAGCTGGTGAGCTGAGGGCTTTGTCTGGAGCTGAGTGGGGGAGGCTTCCGGTTGGCTCCATGGACGGGCTTTCTGCGCCCAGCTCTCGCATGTCGATTCAGGGTCATGGAAAATATGAATAATCAATCTACTCTCTCTGTGTGTGTCGTCCTTTAAGGTAATATGGGATAAATGAAAAATTACCTGTCAGACTTGTTATGTTTTTTGTGCAACAGTAAGGATCATTTTACATTGTGGCTTATTTAATATCAGTTGCCTTGTGTTAGCATTAACTGATAAGAGCTAGCTGTAGCAGACTGTGGCAGGTAGTTTATGACTGTTGTAATTCTGCTTTCAACCAGCAGGAGGGAGAATTGAGAAATTTATTTAGGCCCAATCCCAATCCCACTTGTGCGCAGTAAGGCTTCGAGTGTGTGGTACACAAGGGTGCAAATGATAGCCAAATTGAGACAGGGAGCATTGTGTCATCATGCCTGGTTGCTGGTCGCTGTGATACATTTTTTTTTATAAAACCTTTATTAAGAACTTTCAAACAAACACTTATTTGAAATAATTTTACGTTCATTGCTGCTTTGTTTAAAACATTTAGAACATCAACTAATTGTCCTGTGGGTCCTGTGAGTAATAGACTTCACCCAAGTCCGCATCGATGCAGATTTGGGTGAAGTGTGGATCAAGGGCGCAAAGGGGGCATAATCAACTTCTGCACTTGAGAATCGGGACACCCTACGCACTCACGCCCCTGGTCAGGATCGTGCAATTGAAGGGCGCAAGGGTGGAAGTGCGAGTATTCAGATTGGGCCTTAGTGTTGCTTTAAGATGCAAGACTTCAATAACAATTAGCTTTTGGTATTTCTTCAGTCTTCTAAATCTGGTTGTCTTTTGATTTGATCTTGTCATGGTTTGGTAGTTTTGGTAGGATCCATATGCAGGGGGTGAGGTGGAGAGATGCTCTGGATGCAGCAGGTAAGGTTCAAAAGTAAAGTTCTTTGTTTTAAGGTTTGGACACAGAAAAATAACCAGGAGCAAACGAGGGAGACAGCATAAGGAACTGACAATGAACAACGGACAGAGCTGGGTAGTGACGAGGAAACAGGGGACAGGCGTGAAGATTACTGATCAGTCACAGGTGTGACTAAAAACAAGAAAGAAAAAAAATGATCTTTTACATAGCGTCTCTCAAGATAAAAAATCCTGAGGTGCTTCACAAATTAAAAAAAATTAAGTATAAAAAAGGTTTAAAATGATTAAAAATATGTTTAAATGAGAAAAAAATGTTCATTGTGAATAAAAAATGTAAGGAAATAAAGAGAGAACATGAATAGGAAAGACCAGTAAATGGGGCACTGAGGGAAAAACACAGAGAAAATAACTGGAGGCTGAACACAGAAACTGGAGGAAAAGGAGGACAAAGAAAAAAACATGATAAAACTAACCACGGGAAATACTGACACTGTAGTCAGTCCACACGTAGCCGGGTTTTTTAAAAACGAATATCCGCCCCTCCAAAAACTTGCATCCACACCACCGCGTTTTAAAAACAAACTCTGTCCACACGTACCCGGATAAATACGTTGTTAAGGACATGCCAGACCTGTAGGCGGCAGTACTTCCCCCGTTCTTAACCTCGTCCTTCATCTGTGGTCTTCCGCAAGGAGCAGTAATTCCGCTTGCAAAAACAAACAAGCAAAAAGCGCTTGGACAATTGATAAAGCGAGCGCAGCTCTGAGGGCATCCATGCTGTCGGCTAGTGTAAACACAGGTCGCATACGTGATGTCAGCATTTTTTGTCGCGGAAAGTGACGTTGCGGATCTTAAAACTCCGGTTTTGTCTGTCCACACGCAGACACCCAAAACGGAGAAAACGCAGATCTTCACTTTGGCCGGAGTTTTTAAAAAGATCCGTTTTCGTGTGAAAGAACTCAGTTTTCGTGTGGATGACAGGCCAAAATGTAGGAAAATATCTACGTTTTGGCAGATCCCCGGCTACGTGTGGACAGGGCCTGAGAGTAAACAAAACTGGGAGGAACTAAACTAACTACCAAACATTTAAACACACTGGAAGGGGAAGATGATCACGTAAAATATATCAATGGGCAAATCAAATAGTCAGGGGAGAGAGAAATCTGAGTGACACGTCAGAGGGGACCGGAGACAAGGGACATGGGATATGGAAAGAACAGGCGAGACATGAACAGAACATGACAGATCTGAGTTGGACAGTTTTAAGCCCTAACAGCTGCCAGTGTCAAATAGGACCTCTATGTCCACTGCTTTAATCAGATCTGTAGGAGGAGATGCAAACTTATCCCATCAGGAACGTCAGAGAAACTCCCAGTGGGTCGGTGAGTTTTATGGGGCCAACAGGGCTGGTGACAAATCAACATTCACACATTTATAACCATCACAGGTCTAAGTTATCTCTACCTGGACCACATCAAGTTGAATGGCTGTAACTGTAAGGTTGATGGAAAATACAGAAATATTTTCTGCTAGTCTGTTGTAAAAAATCCACTAAACATAGGAATTGTTGAATTTTGTACCTGAAAGACCTGCAGCTGCTCCAGAGTGACCTCCTGACTCTGGCCGTGCTCTTTGAGCAGTTGGATGGCTTTCAGCACAAGTCCTGAGTCTGAAAATGTAGACAATGTTTATTAACTTTGAATTTTCATAAATAAAACCTAAATGGTTAAATCTTAATTCTCAGTTGACCTGTGCCTATGAACAGGACATCATATGTGCCGTCAACAGCCTCCACTCTGTCCACCAGCAGTTTGCTAAACTTGTAATGGACCCCCACTCTGACCAAGAGGGGGCGCTCTCCAAGTGGCAAAACATGTTCCTGAAAATAATCACATTTAAAAAATGTCTCGTCAAGTAAAAAATGCCTGATTTTTATTTTGGACCGGTTCCTGGTGATCATCCCTAATATGATTAATTTCCTCGGTGACGAGGTGGCAAGAAATCCAACTCATTCAAATTCAGAAATTTTAAAAGGTCTTTGGACTAAAATAGAAAAAGATCACTTGACCCAGTGTAAAGTAGTACACGAGCTAATAAAGTTAAATCGATGTAATTTAATAAAGTGAAAGGTCAACCCAACCTGCAGCAGCGGGTGGGTCCTGCTGAAGAAAATAACATCATCGGGATATTCTCTGGTTGAGCTGTAGCTTCCATAAGTGCTGCTGGGACACTGAAACAGAAAAAAGGTATTTTCACTGTTACTGTATAAAAATGTCACAGAATATCTGTGTTAAATAACTTTGTGTGAACTTTAATACAGTTTCATGCATTTCATGCATGTCACCTGACTCGTGGTCGGGCAGACGGTTATGAAAACCAGAAAAGTGGAGCGGGTTGTTTTGAGAACTAACTTACAGTTCCTGGCCGTGGATATGGCACCTTGCCTGTAAACTCTGCCCACTTGTACAGTGGCCCTTCTTTGTGCAGAAAGTTGCCCTTAAAAGCTCGAACCACATCTTCCATTCGATAAACGCACACCGCCGAGCCGTTCAGAATATCGCTGCGGACAAAGCAGAACCAGCAGAACTAACATCAACACCTCCTTTGATTATTTCTTTTGAGGAGCTGCTAAAGATGTGAGCAGAACGACAGAAAGTGGTGTAACAAGCTGTGACTCATTGTGGCTCTTCAACTTGAACTCATCAACTCAACCAAATGTTTCTCGAACCCAAAAAGGGAAAGCATGGGGTGAATGTGCTGCTTTGAGATCCACCCCCTACACAAGCCAACCGCTGCAGGCATCCTGGATTGTGGAGGATTCGTTACAAAAATGTGTGCTTCACTTAAAGACTCCTGCGCCGTAGGAGCTGAAGGCAGAAAAGCCACATTGTGATGACTCAGTGTGGTTTCCTCCAGTTCGTTTGGGTGACACACACCCGCTGCATGTGTGCTCGATTGTTCCTCTGGAGGAAGCTGGATTTTATTCCTCCTCACTGACAAGTTTCAGAGTACAGAGGTGACATGTAAGGTTAACTTAGACTTATTCAGCATATTAAATTGTGCATCCAAGCTGTAAATTCTGTCATGGCTGCCTCCCAGTTGTTTTCCAGAGTCCTTTGATGAGAGAGACCACATAAGGGCTGTTGGGAAAGTATTTACAAAGCCGCCACTGCTGGAAGGTGCATTAAAATTCACTCAGATGTTAGCTCAAATGGATCCAAACAGGTTTATTCAGAAGGAGCAACCACATTTGTTTTTATTGTCAACGCAGTCTGCTTTCAGATGTTAACATAGTGTTAAAAATGGTTGCAGTTTTGCTCAAAATCCCACAAATGTTATAAGGAATGATGCAAAACTCTGGTAACCATGTCAACAGGGTTAGCAGTGGGAGAGCCCATAAAAAAAACCTTCACTAAAACTGAAATATGCAAGCAACACATTACTGGTCCCATAAATAATACAGTTCTGTGATGAATTACAAATAAATGAAGTAAAGCACAAAGAACAGATGATAGATTTATAGCTTACACGCATGACTTCATCAGTGTGTGTGTGTGTGTGTGTGTGTGTGTGTGTGTGTGTGTGTGTGTGTGTGTGTGTGTGTGTGTGTGTGTATGTGTGAGTAACCATGACTGTACCACAGGGACAAGTTTCCATTCAGAGAAATGACCCCTGTGCACCCTGCACTTCTGCGGTTGCGACCCCACCCACTGTGATGCTTTGGATTTCTGTCCGTTCTCTGCTAGGATTCCAAACACTTTCCAAATTCCCAAGGAAAAAGTAAAAAAGAGGCCTACACCCTGCTCCACCAGGCCAAACGCTGCGTCTGCTGCTACCGGGGAGCTCTGGGGTCCAGCTCAAACACAGGCACGTAACCTGGAGAAAAGAACTAACTCCAGGCGTTCCTAGTTTATTTTGCAGACATTCGTTTTTTTGTCTTTGGCTCATTTTTTCCTAAACCATTTTCAACTCATGTTTCTTCAACATTTCATTTTTACCTTTTAGGATACTATGGGCTTTGATTGCATTATGGCAGCACTTGTTGCATCATTCCAACCCAAGTAGGAAACAGCACCTCATGCTATCTGAATCCTGTGATTCCAAATGAAACAGCTGCTTTTTAAATTACATATGTTTGATTATGAAATTAGAAGCTTCTAACTGAATCTGCACAACTAAAATACATCTAGGCCCAGTTCACACAGCAGGATGTTTAAATCTTAGGTAGATTTTGAAAGAATGAGAGACCTCACATGAGGTGATTAAAAAAATGACAGATAAACTAGTTTTGGTCCTGCAGTGTGTGTGTGTGTGTCTTACTACACACTACACATGAATGGCTTTCACTCACGGACATTCCCCACCCAGACAGGAAAGCTTGCAAGATAAAACGTGACTTCAAAGTAAAAAAAATAACACATGGCAGAGGAAGAGTGCTGCTTACTTCCGTGCCCTTGCTCTCTAATTAACTTATGTCACTTTCAAAGAGAGCATGTTAATTTGTTCCTGGAAATTGGACCAAGAGGATCCAACATGTTTCAAAGCCCGGATTTATGACTGAAGCGCTTCAAACATCCTTCCGAGCAGACCGGAGCGCTCTTGACACACCACTCACTGTAAGATTGTCTGATAAGATTATCTTTAGCTGTAACACTAAACGTACTCATCTTTAAGATTGTCAGAAGGGGCAGAGCTGTTCAAAATATGGAATGATTACCCTGCCGTGTGACATTTGGGGCCTGGAAAAGTTTATCTTGAGAGGGAAAATTTACTCATAAATATCCAGACTGATGCCACAGCTGGTGAACTCCTGATGATGTGATGACAAAGGCTCACATGTTTGGATGAATGGAAATTTTTCATTGATGAGTCAGTGACATTAGAACGTGTGGGCGGTTTCTATTTCACTGTAACATCTGTGTGTCACCTGTGCTCCCTTCCTGTCTGAAAGCCTCACGTCACGTATGGCTTTAATGCAGGGCAGTGCGAGAATTTAGATTTAAATTCTCACGCTGCATACTGAGAAAGATCCCAGGCTGGGAAGCGAACCCAGGACCTTCTTGCTGCAAGGCAACAGTTCTAACCACTGCACCACTGTGCAGCCCGAAACAAAAACATTTTAGGAAAAAAAACTTTTAATTACTTAATTATTTATTTGAACATCTGTTGTTTTAGCATTTAGTTAAATTCACCTGTCCTCACCAAAGCATCCACAAAAACTAATGATATTTATTCATCTTTTTGAAAATTCCCTATTCCCCTGACGAAACAAGGAGTTAATCTGGCAATCATCTGCATAAAGGTGAAACACAAGGCCGTGTTTGTGGATGATTGAGCCCAGGGGGAGCAGATAAATAGCAAAAAGATGTGGGCTGAGGATTGAGCCCTGAGGGACCCCCCAGCAAAGATCCTCCCAGGAGGAAGACATGTCCCCAAGTTTCACACAGAACCTCCTTCTGTGCAGATATGACCGGAACCAATCCAGCAGATCTAAAAAAAGGAGCACAGACGAGCCCTGATCCAGTGAAATATTGATGTCATTTAAGACCCTCAGCAGGGCCGACTCCGTGCTATGACCAGACCTAAACCCTGACTGGGAAACCTCAAACAGATCAGAGTCAGACAAATGAGACACAAGCTGCTGATAAACAACTTTCTCCAGCAGTTTTGAGGTAAAGGGGAGGTTGGAGATCGGCCTGTAATTGTCAAGCATACAGACATCTGCTCCAGGTTTTGTCAGGATCGGCCGAATAACTGCAGCTTTCAGTGCGGCTGGGACCACTCCTGTGCTAATTGGATTGGATTTTACATTATGTTTTGAGTAAGGGAGATGAATGTATTGTTTGTGGGAACATTAATTAGATTTATTAAAGTGGGGGATGTCTTTCCTGAAGAGGGTCAGTGAGGTGGGCAGCACTTTCCAGGTCGAGGCTTGGCCACTCCTTGGGGCCACCCCTGGTTCTAAGGTTCGATCACTTGAAAACAGAAAGATCCTATGAGTACTTCAGAAAGAACTCTTGCTCAGGACCATCTTTAGCTGCATGCAGAAATGAAACCTCAACTGTATTAAACAGCTCGTATATCAACCCTCTGCAGAAAATCCTGCTGAGTCCTGCAGGCTTGAGCTCATCTCAGATGGACAGAGACACAGCAAACACATGTTCTGTGGTCAGATGAGACCACGTTTCAGCTTGCCTGTGGGAAAAAACAGACGTCTGGTGCCAAAGATGAGAAAGCGCAATCAGGCGGTCATTAGTGAGGAAGCACGGAGCCTGTGATGTTAAAGGGGCTGCATCAGTGCATATGGCATGGATGACTTGCATATGTGTATAAGTGCCATTGATGTGGAGGCTGGAATTTTAGAGACATTTGTTAACATTAAGGCAAGCTGTGATTATTTCAATGACACAATTCCAGACTAGATTCTGAAGGAAAGTTTCATAAACACAGGCTTGATCTGTTTTCAGTAGAAATGAGACATTGTGAAGAGAGTCGTACCAACAAAACAAATATTGGTTCTCGTTGTTTCAATAAATGTACTGTGGTCTCTGTGAACGAATGCCTCGTGAGTCATCTTCAGTGCAAATAAAGCTCTGGTGTTCCCGTTTCAGGAAGTAAAAGTTTGTCAGAGGAGTAGGTGGCAAAAAAAGTTGGAAGTCTTGCTCATTAATTTTCAAGAAATGTGAAAATCTGGCTTCTAATTGGATAAAGCCAATGCAACTCTTCCACTGTGTCTGCTCGCTCTTCTTTCTTGGGTAATAATCGCAACTTTGGTGTTTTATCTCCACAAAGAACACGAGCCTGGACGTTTTCTGCAATGCTGTAGAGTCGCTAATGCTAACTGTTAGCGTCTACTAGCCAAGATGAGCTCTGCTCTCTCCTGGATGCTAAATCAACAACAGCCTTCTGCGGTCACAACCAAGGTGGGTGAGGCCATAGCTGCAAATGTCTCCCTGTGATGTAGAAGAGCTGAGCTGTTGTCCATCTGTGCCAAATTATTGTAGAAGAACACACATTTCTCCGTTAACCTCTGCTTTAAAAAGAGATCAGATAAAATTCCTATAAACACGACTTTTTCAAACCTGCCGTCAGACTTAGGTTTGTTTAAATTTTCAGAATCTAATCAATTTTATTTAAGTTTTTTTATTATTATTTTAAAAAACGTTAGAACATCATTAAATCTATATCTAAATTTGCGGCTTCTTGCAGCTCAGCTTTCTTATCATGTTTGATTTAGCAGACTTTTTTTCTTCTCTTGACATTTAAAGTTTAACTCCCACAGTTGTAGCAGAGAAAAGTGAACCTAAATTTATAACATCTGACTGAAGAAACTGATGAACACCTTTAAATGAAACAGAATGACCTCCCTGTGGAAGGGAGGTGCTCCTTAACCAGTGATGTTTAAAACAGAGGCCCAGATTCACCAAAGAGGAGCAGCACCTGTTTTTTATTTGTTTTGCTACCTTCTTGCACATCGTTTGCACGAGTCGTACTCATAATGCTCACCAGCTAACAATGTGGTGCTGTAAACAAGCAACAAGGTCAGCAACATGGACATTTTTTCCCTCACATAATGCATTTCATAAATAGCGCAGGTCTTTGAGAATCAGATACTTTCAGCTAATCATTTACACAGATGCGTTTTTCTTCAAATGCTTGCATAAAATCTGCACCAGCAATGAGCGATACTGTTTGGTCCGCGGTTGGGTTTAATGTACAAATATCCCTTTGGTCAGAATTTGAGAGTTAGGCACAAAACACTAATCTGCACCTGCAAAAGTCACATAACAGAAATAATAAATATTCAATGTCCATGGTTTCTACATAATTGAAGCAATTACCTTGAGGTTGTAAACAGGCCGTAGATGAGGGGATTCTTCTTGTCCTTTCCGTGCAGAATAAAGATATCCTCTGAAAAGAAAAAGGGAATAGAAGGAGAAAATGAGCAAAAGAATGAGAGAAAAGAGAAAGAATAAGAGACTTAAGGTAAAAGGTTAGATAAGTCTGAAATGCACTGTCTGACTAAATGTGAGTGATGTTCTGAGTGCTTGTAATGATCCATGTTTGTGTGTTTAAGCCAGGCACTTTGTCTTCATTATGTGTATGCCGGTGTGTGTATGGGAGTGTGTGCATCTATCAGCCTGGCTGTGTGACTAATCATGGCGGGCATACTGGCAGCATGGCTGACTGGCTGCTTGTAATGAATCTGTAGCCATTAATAACCAGCCGCAGTGGGAGAGCCGAGGGCTGAGTCCGCTGCAGGAGAACAACACCTGCTGTTACACGCACCAGCATCACGCCTCGGTCCTCGCTCTTCATATCACAAACAGCAGTTCACAACATTTTCTGCCTTTTTCTCACTTCGGTGTCGCTCTCAAGCCGCGCAATCAGGTGGAGATCCATGCTTTTGCCATCTGGCCGTCCTTAAGAGCTGACAGCTCAGCCGCCATCAGATCAAACCAGATTGAACGCAAACAGGTGACATTATGAGTTATTTTAAGCAACAAATGTTGTATTTTAAAAGCATTAATAACACAAAAGTCTAAAAGCTTGTTTTAGAACTTTTGAAAGAAAAAACATCAAATTTTTCCAGGAGAACTAAAAAATAATAATAATGGTAAATGGCCTGTATTTGTATAGAATCTTCTTGGGATTCTACCGACCCCCCCCCACCCACCCCCCCCCACCCCCAAGGCACTTCACAACACAATCAGTCATCAACCCATTCACACACATTCCCACACATTCACACACTGGTGGGGATGAGCTATGATGTAGCCACAGCTGCCCTGGGGCGCACTGACGGAAGCAAGACTGCCCAACACCGGTGCCACGGGTCCTTCTGACCACCACCAGCAGGCAAATGTGGGTTAAGTGCCTTGCCCAAGGACACAAAAGCAGCATTTTCTGGCAGGAGCTGGGATCATACCTACAACCTCCCAATTACTGGGCAACCCGCTCTACCTCTCGAGCTACTGCTGCCCAAGGGGCACCTTGCTCACACCAGTTTGACGCCCTTTAGTCTTCAGAACTCCCCAAATTTGATGTGAATCTCCCCCACATCCCAAGCAGGATGGGTTGGGTTTGTGTGGCTGTGGAGGCCTTTAGAGTCCAGTGAACTCATTCTCATGTTCACCAAACCAGTTTGAGATGGCTGGAACTTTGTGGCACGGTGCATTATCCTGCTGGGACAAGTGGCTATTGGAGCACTCTTTTTAAAACTTGCATGGAGATGGTTGTGGGTGAAAATCCCAGATGGTAGATGAGTCGAATCTCAAACATTCAGGCTGCCCTATCTGGCGCCAACAACTACGAGACATTTAAAGTGTGGTTATATGCACATGTAAATAATCGAGCTAATAACTTAGCCAGAAATAGAGCCTTTATCCTAGCTTATATGTCCGTTAGAAAGCTGAATTATTAAATAAAGTGCGTTCGACTCTGCATGGACAAGCGGGTATAGACAAGGGATGGACTCTGTGACAGTGGGTGACATGTGCTTTTTCAGCTTAGCATTCTTCTGATTGGCCCAAAGCGTCACACAGAGAGTAAACAAACATTTGCGGGAGTGAAGCAGATATTATCAGTGTGGCTGAAGGAATGAACACACTGATGTGCGGTTTGATGGTGTTAAACGTCAGATTCATGCAGATTCTTGTGGTGATGATTTTACCAGTAGGCCACTTCTGTGGTCTTGTTCCTTCCAGAGAGCCAGGGGAGTGCCCAGGCCGGTCATAGCTCAGCTAAGCTGGGATGTTGTTGACGTGCAGAAAGATTTGGGTTTCGACAACACGGGTGCTTTAACTCAATTAGGAGTAGTCCAGTTTAGTTCGACTTGAGCTGGACGAAGGTGTTTGTGCATTTTGAAAGTCTTTTCTTTTCCATTCTGGTGGTTGGTTTAAAGTTCATCCTCACTACAGATGCCTAAATGCACTGAGTTGCTGCAACGTGATTGGCTAAGCTGTTATATTTGCTAACAAACAAATCACACTGGTAAGTTTTAACGCTTAGTTTCCATCATATTCAAAAATTAATTTATTTTCCTATAAACTATATTTACAATTAAATGTATTCTTGAATTGCTTTCTCTAACAAACTCACCAAAACAACTCATCATCCACACATTTACAACTATTATTCACCAATAATTTCATATAAAGCATAAAGAAATTCAATCAACTGAGAAAATAATAAACAAAAATTTCTATTTACCAATGTGACACATTAAGAAGTTTCTATTTTATCCTCAAGTCAATCACTCAGACAGTTACTTGCCTGTAGTTTCTGGCTTTCGCAGTTCATTCAAGTCCTCGATGCTTTCATAGTTTATTTAAATCAAAATAGTTGAAGGTTCTCTTCTGTTTCTCTCTGTTTTGTCTCAGATAAGTGCTGGAAATGTCTGTATCATCCCATCACAACAGAGGAGGAGAGTGCTTTGTTTGCTGGGTGGCATGCTGTGATAATCTATAAATACATGACTTGATTCAGCTCCCGGGGTGTGTTTGCCAAACAGCTTTGAAAGACTTGGAACTCACAGAGCTCAGGCTTATGTTGAGAAACGGAGTTTGCAACAAAGCAGACACTCGTTTAATGGAGTAATTTGTTTTTAATTAGTCAAAAATGGGTCTGATTAGAAAGATTTAACAAACTGAAAGACATTGAGTTTTAAAATGTTTATTTTTAGAGTGATGCTAAAGTTAGAAGGCTGGAGGGATGTTTTGGATTTTTCCAGAAGGGTTTCATAGCCTTTAACAGACTTTAAGAATGATGCATAGAAAGTGGAAATGGATAACACATGCTCATATTTAGCATTTCTACCAGTTTAATTGTAATTAAAATATTTAAATGAATACAGAAAAAGATGAAGGTCAGTTTCTTCTCTCCTCTCCCACACTGATGCGTTGTTGTTGATGGAGAAGGCAAAGTTTGCCTCCATTCCCACATTCTTGTCATTCCTGCTGCTTCAGGTGGCCTCCATGGAGCTACGGCCTTGCAGAGAGGCTAATCTCATCTCATCGCAACAACACACTCGGTGCCACACACGGCGACAGATCCGGGAGCTCTCACACTTCAAAGTATAAAAGCATGCTCCCCTACATGTGCACGATGGGTAGCTTACACATTCACCACTTCATCGTCTTCTTATTGGTTTATCCTGTTTAGCAGGTGAACATTGATTTAGATGTGTTGTCCTCCTTGAGATAACATCTCACCGGGATTTAACGGTTGGTGACAAATTGTGAACAAAATTTGCAAAAACACTCTAAATGTTCAAGATATTCAATGAGGAACAGGGTCTTGTCTGAAACCTGTCTGTCTTTCTCTGTAAAGGAGGAAACAAGTGAGATGACTTTGGGAGGGTTTGGCAACCGATAAGCAGACAAAAAAAAAGGTAAATTGCAAACAGGTCAGGAAATGTTTCATGTATTTAACGACTAAGTTGTAATTAGAAAATTAGGAAATGGGTTCCAAATTTTGTGCAAAGATGTCAAACGGTCTATGTGACCCATCCTTAAAATGTCATTTCAGGCAAAACTACCTTTTGCATCCTTTTGTGCTGCCAAGTGTGTCTCTACCGTCTCTACAAACACTCGAAACATGAAAATAAAAACAGTCACCCATTTTCTGTTTCAGGAATTTTGTGCCTAAAATACGCTGTTTTTCACGCACTGTGGTCCTTTCTACCTGTCCAGGAATTTTGGGGTAGAGTATGTGAAGACCTGTCAAAGTGTCGGAAATGTCATATCCCATCCGCCCCTCTCTTTGTTTACTGGGAAACCTGGACGATGTCCCGACTGAAACATCTTTGGCTCACGTGGTTCTGACTGCCATATGCATCGCTAAGAAAACTATCCTCTTGAATTGGAAAAATAGAGATACTCTTTGCATCGACCAGTATAGAAATCTTTTGTTAGATCATATTTCACTTGATATAGCCTCTGCTTCCACTTCAAATCAATCACTATGGGCTCCTTTGATCAGTTCCATCACATAGTGATGACGGGGGACCATTGATATTGTCCTGCGGGATGATGTGGGTGAGGGGGTGGAGGGTCTGAGTTTGGAGTATCCGGATGTTCCCTGGAGGTGGGTTCACTGGGGGTGTCTGGGACTGGGGAGCCGTTGCCTCCCTCTGGAGGTGCTTGGGTTGCCTCGGGGGGTGGACTACTGGTGGTTGTGAGTGGGGCCCCTAGGAGGTCTTGGCGGTGGCCATGGGTCACTGCCCGGCAGCTGCATTGCCCCATGGGCGGGTCTGGGTGGGGGCCTGGGGGCTCGGGGTGTGGGGGTGGCCGGCCCCGTGGGGGGATCTGGGCGGGGCCTTAGGGGTTGGGTCCTGACATGTATGCTGCCGGGGAGAAGGCAGGAACATGCAGCAGTGCCTGACTCGGGTTCAGGGGCCTCAGGTAGACCTTGGCTTCTCTGCTGTCCCATCACAGGGGAGGGGGATGACCCAACCTTACCTGGATGTCCTATGTCTTTTATAATCCGGAAGTTGTGCAAATGCAGGGATGGGCATAGATATTCTGCTGGGGTGGGGCTGGGTTGGTCCTCGGACTCCGTGAGGCTCTGTGATGCTGCTGCTTTGGGCCCTGACAGGATGGGCTGGGGTCTCCATGCTCTGTGTGGCATTTTGACAACAGAGGTGCCTATTGGAGCCAGTGGGGGAGCTGGCTCCCTGGAGGGCTAAGCCCAACCAGCCATTCCTCCCCATCCCCACACATTTTTCTCCTCCTGCTCCCTCACATCATCACACAAACATGCACATAGGACCTTGGGGGGTGGACAAGTCAGGGGGTGCAGGTATGGACCCCATTTCCGCATTCCTGTGACAACCTGCCCCCCAATTTTATTTGCACCTTATACACTTCCACTGACGACATTCCACACAAACACACACTTAGGGCCTTGGG